ATATATTCGATAATTTTCTTAAAACTAAAATATAAGATTTATTCGCCCTATTTCGTTTAAGGAGTTGAAGAACTGGTAGTAGAATTCTCCTACAATGATATGAGTAGAGCTGAAGTTTCCATTCAATTTCACATAGCCTTGCTTTCCCAAAAGTTGTTCTCATCCCGGCCGAAGTGGACTGCAGTTTCGACCTCGCATCGGTCTTATCAACACTCCTAGCGGGAGTCAAACCGTGATAAAGCACAATGTGAGCTTGGCACGTTAACCACTCAGCCACATTGTAACGAGGGCCCTTGGGTCACAGGGCAGATGTGAATTTCAAAGAAGGCCAGGCCCTTTTAACATGTCACATTCTTTGGTGGGATTGCCGATTAAGCAAACGTATATTTGCTTCATGGAACGTATATTTGCTATAACAATCGACTACGTTAATTATTTTTCGAATGCAAATAAACTACGAAAAATAATTAACGTAGTCGATTGTTATAGCAAATATACATTTGCTTCATCGACAATCCCACCAAAGAATGTGACATGTCAAAAGAGCTTGGCCTTCCTTGAAATTTACACCTGTCCCATGTTAATAAGACCCATGCGAGGTCGAAACTGCAGTCCACTGGTGACTGGATGAGAACAACTTTTGGGAAAGCAAGGTTATGTAAAATTCAATGGAAATGTCAGGTCTTCTCATATCATTGTGGGAATACTCAACTGCCAGTCCTTTATCACCTTACACGAAATATGGTAAATACATATCATATTACTGATTTACTGATAGTCTCGAAACTCTACTTAAATGCCCTACTACTTAAATGGAAATTTTAAGGTATGGATAAGCGTGGAAAAATGGTCAGTATTAAATCATACTCTGTACACAACATTTAAACTGGACTTGGAATATATAATTTAAAAGGCGAGCTCTAATACTTTCTAACGATGCTCTTTTTAAAAGCATTAAATGACATCCATAAATGCAGTGGCGGAGTCCACTGGGTAAATGGAAGCACTAGTCCCTAGGACTGCACACCTAAATTGACTTTATTCTGAGGCAATGTAAAATAAGCGCGATGAAAGGAATGGGAGTAAATACGAGGCTAGTAAGCTTCCGTGCTCTGTATACAGACCAAGACATGGTTTTCAATGGCGAGATGATCATCACAGAGCTTGTGAAAGCGTTTAACTGTAGTATGTCCAGTTGCTAAAAAGGTGTTTCTTGGACAGATCTATGATCTATTAGATTGGAATCGTAGAGGAATTATTCTGAATAGCAGTTGGAGAAATGGTAGCTAAATATGCAAGAGCTTTTTCGAAAATAAGAGGCTAATAACCATTCGCCATACAGTTTACTATCGAGAAAATGTAAGGGAGGTCAAGCCCCTTCCAGCCTTAATAGAGATATAGTAATGAGACGCGAAACTCATTAATTTAACGCAACGAGGCAGGCATATGCTAATGGACAAGCCAGGATCGTATGTGAACCTTGAATAGCAAAATAAAGGATTTAGTGAGCTTCAGCTTGAATGGCTCGTCAAGCCTATAGCATAGTCACCACATAGCACTGGATCAAGGTTGACCGAATAGTTGGTATTTATTAGGACCATTAAGAAAATTTTGGTTTTGAGAAATTCCTAAAATTAAAGAAAACGTGATAAGGATAGCTTATGAAATTCACCAGCGTGGCTCGGCCAAATTCCATAAAAATAACTTAAATTTATATGAAGCATAGACCATGCGGAGCTTGTAGTATTGTATATTCTTTAGCCAAAAAAGTTCCCACCTAAACAAGAAAGTATCGGGAATGTCAGGCCAATTGGAGACTCGCAGGCCTGCCGACAAGTTCTAAGAGTTTGATGAAGATGTACGGTCGAATGCCAAACGAAAATTTCCGTCACATGTGAATGCAAGCCTTCAACACAAACAAGTATCGCCCACGAAATGATAACCCCGGACAATTAATTATGATGTAC